CTAATTCCGGCTACTCAGAAGGCTGAGGCAGAAGGACCGCCGGAGCCCAGCAGGTCGAGGCTGCGGTGGCCGGGAGCGACCACTGCACTCCAATCTGGGCGACAGAGTGAGACTCCAACTCAAAAAAAAAAAAAAAAACCTCCAGTAGAAAGAGGCATAGACATCATAGTACTTCTATAAATATAATTCCATGTTGCTTGCATCTAGCTGATCTGAAGTTTACTCTTAGAATCATTTCATTCCTCATTTGCCTAATCAGCAATAAGATTTTGAACTTTCATGACTATTAAGTTTATTTTTAATATTATATGGGTAAACAAAAGCATCTGGACAGGAGTTCCCGAATCTTCTCACCTCTTGACCACACAGACAACTTGTCTCTATACCCATTCTTCATCTTCTGTCCAAGTATGATAGAGGAAACACCATTATCTTTATTAAAGGTTATCATCTCCACGCACACCCTGTTTCTCAACCCTTCTTGCATTTGCCAAAACTATAGTTCCTCAACCAACTCCTTTCTCTCCTGCATCATCAATTTCTCATTCAATAATAAATTTTTCTTAGCAGTAAACAAATATGCTCCGATATCTCCTATTTAGAAAAAAAAAATTAGAGCTGTGGGGTACATGTGAGGATTGGTTACATAAGTAAATTTTGTGTAGGTGAGGTCTGGGCTTCTAGTAAGTCCTCTCTTCCCCTGGTAGTTGACATGGTACCCAGTGGGTAGTTTTGTGCCTTTTATCCCACCTCTCTCCTTCCCTCTCTCCCTCCTTCCTTCACTCTTTAGTAGTGTCCAGCAGTGCCCAGTGTTCGACATGCCGTTGCTCGCATGCCCAATGCTTAGAGTCTACTTAAGAGTGAGAACATGCGGTATTCAGTGTTTTGTTTCTGTATTTTTTGTTTTGGTATTGAGTTTTTTGTTTTCTTCTATGTGGTATTTTGTTACTGTGATAATTGAGTTAGCATGATGGTCTCCAGCTGCATTCATGTTGTAAAAGACATGATTTTTTTTGTTCTTTATGGCCATGTAGTATTCTGTCTTGTATATGAACCACATTTTCTTTATTCAGTCCATTTTCAATGGGCACCTGGGTTGGTTTCATGTTTTTGCTATTGTAAATAGTGCTTCAGTGAACATTTGTATGCAGGTGTCTTTTTGGTAGTGCGACTTATGTTCCTCTGAGTATATTCCCGGAAGTGAGGTTGCTGGGTCATGTGGTAGCTCCATATTTAGTTCTTTGAGAAAATGCCACACTACTTTTCACAAATGTTGAACTAGCTTACATTCCTACTAACAGTGTAGAAGCGTTATCTTTTCTCCACAGATATGCCAACATCTGCTGTTTTTGATTTAATAATGATAGCCATCCTTACTGTATGTGGTGGTATTTCATTGTAATTTTGATTTGCATTTCTCTGATGATTAGTGAGGCTGAGCAGTATTTACGTGTTTGTTGGCAGCTTGAATGCCTTCCTTTCAGAAGTGTCTGTTCATGTCTTTTGCTCACTTTTTAAAAAATCTTTGTACAACTTTTTTTATATGTATATCAGTATATGTCACATTTGGGCACTTTTTTTTTTAAATGTGGAGTACAATTCAGGTTTAGGTATACAAATGTTCATTATGCAGGTACCCTTGTTGATGAGGTGTGTCCCTCCCTCCCCTAGCAGTTTCCCTCAACTGCCAATCCCACCCCTCTCCCCTGGCAGTTTCCCACTACTGCCAATCCTTGTCTTATAGTATTACAATAATTGTTCAAGTTCCGCTTATGAGTGAGAACATGTGATACTCAGTTCTTTGTTTCTGTGAAAGATCACTCAGTATTATAGACTGTAAGTCCATCCAGGTTGCTGTGAAGTTCATGATTTTGTTCTTTATGGTTACATAATATTCCATCGTGTATATGTACCACATTTTTTTTACCCAGTCCTCTTTTGATGGGAAGCACGGTTAGTTCCATGTTCTTGCTAATGTGAACAATGCTGTGTTAAACACACATGTGCAGGTATCTTTTTCATAGAGTGCTTTTTTTTTGAGTTGGAGTCTCACTCTGTCACCCAGACTGGAGTGCAGTGGCTGCTCCGACCACCGCAGCCTCGACCTGCAGGGCTCCAGTGATCCTTCCGCCTCAGCCTTCCAAGTAGCCAGAATTACAGGCGCATGCTACCACACCCGGCTAATTTTTTTATTTTATTGTAGAGATGAGGTCTTGCCAGCCCAGGCGGGTCTCGAACCCGCGGGTTTAGGCAATCCACTCACCTCAGCCTCCCAAAGGCGCGGGATTACAGGCTGAGCCACCGAGCCCAGCTCATAGAGTGCTTTGAATTCTTCTGGGTATATTCCCAGTAGGGAGATTGCAGGGTCGTATGGAAGGTCGACTTTTAGATCTTTTATGAATAGCCACACTGTTTTCCACAGAGGTTGTACTAGTTTGCACTCCCACCAACAGTGTAGAAGTATTCCGTTTTCACCGCATTTTCTCTAGCATCTGTTGTTTTTTGAGTTATTGATGATAGCCATCCTGACTGGAGTTTTAATTTGCATTTCTTTGATGACTAGTGAGGCTGAGCATTTTTTCATGTATCTGTTGGCTGCTCGTATGTCTTCTTTGGAGGACTGTCTATTCATACCTTTTACCCACTTTGTAAGGGGGCTGTTTGTGTTTTTCTTTTCAGCTCATTTGAGTTCCTTGTAGATCCTAGATGTTAGGTCTTTGTCAGACATACAACTGACAAATATTTTTTCCCAGTCTGTGTGCTGTCTCCC